GCCCCACCTAGCCCCCCTCCTCAGGGCTTCCAGGCCAGGGTTCCCAGTTCGGCTCCCCCGCCCCAGCCTTCCAAGGATCCCAGGCCCCACCTAGCCCCCCTCCTCAGGGCTTCCAGGGCCAGGGTTCCAGTTCGGCTCCCCGCCCAGCCTTCCAAGATCCCAGCCCCACCTAGCCCCCCTCCTCAGGGCTTCCAGGGCCAGGGTTCCCAGTTCGGCTCCCCGCCCAAGCCTTCCAAGGATCCCAGCCCCACCTAGCCCCCCCTCCTCTTCCTGCCCACGTCGCTCCTCCGTCCCCATCCTTGCCGCATGCAACCGCGACCCACTCCTCGTCCGGCCCCGTGGTCGAGCATCACCACACCCACATCCACATCACAGACGGCGCGGCGGCGGGAGTGGGCTTCCGCTCACTAACCCGGGGAGTCCTTCCGGCCTTCCTTGCCGGTGCGCCCGCAGCCCGACGTCGCCCACGGAACCCTCTTCCGCCCCGACGCCCCCGCGTACCGTGAGGAGTGCGAGTGCGTCCATCCCTCCTTCTGCGCCGCCCACGACGTCGTCCCTCGGATCAACGACCCGCGGGACATCAGCAACCTTCTCGACGCCCGCTCGCTCCACGCGGACATCCTCTCCAACGCCACCGACGCCGAGGAGGACGTGACGACGACCGCAAACCCCGGAGAAGAGGAGGCCGAGGAATCGCGCGCGAGAAGAGACACGCTTGACCATCTGGCGCCGCTTGATAACTCTACTGACCATCCTCAAGGGGTAAGTAGAGAGAGGAGAGAGAAGAGAGAGAGAGAGAGAGAGAGAGAGAGAGAGAGAGAGAGAGAGAGAGAGAGAGAGAGAGAGAGAGGCGAGAGAGAGAGAGAGAGAGAGAGAGAGAATTGATTATAACAGCGATGAATGACTAAGAGCGTCCCATTCACTTTGCCTTATAAGGTCAGAAATTACTCCTCCATAAAATTATCTTCCTAATAAGACACTCAAACACAACACCAATGATGACTGGCCACAATCTCACCTCATTCACACCACGGCCCACCTCTTTCACGCCCTTGTTCGCCGCGCCCTCTCATTCCAAATTCCACCCCCTCAGCGCGCCCTCGGGTTCGCCCCGGGCCTCGCAGGCTGCGACAATGGCAACGTGTGCTGCCGCAACCCGCGGTTCAATCGCCCGGCGCCTCAGCGCTCGTCCTGCGGCCTGCGGAATGCCGCGGGTATCACAGGCCGAGTCAAGAACCCCGAGTACGTCAGGGGAGACACGGAGTTCGGCGAATACCCGTGGCACGTCGCCATCATGAAGATCAGCGACGATTACGTATGTGGAGGAGCCCTCATCGACGACGTCCATGTGCTGACTGCCGCGCACTGCATCAGCGGGTACGTGCTTATTTACCACCGATATTGTAAATTGTTAAAAATTACAAAGACACAGAAGAATATTAGTCAACAAAACCATCCCACCGAATATATACATCATATATATATATATATATATATATATATATATATATATATATATATATATATATATATATGTAATATGTATATTATTGTATGTGTGTATGTATGTATAAACAACCACACAAACAATCTTTAAAAAAAAATCCCTCCCATTCTCCTCCCCAGTCTGCTTCCCCAAGAGATGAAGATCCGCCTCGGGGACTGGGACGTGTTCGGCCCCACGGAGTTCTACAGCCACATCGAAGTCGGCGCCGAGTCCGTGGTCATTCACCCCGACTACTACGCCGGGAATCTCGAGAACGACTTGGCGGTCGTCCGGATGCGTCAATACGTTGATTTCGCAGCAAAGTGAGTGGTTGGGATATTTGGAGGTTGATATGCGTTTTTGTGGGTTTGAAATGCGTTTATCTGGATGGTAGGCGTTGTGATTGGATGGCCTAAGGGTGTTTGGGCGGTTTAACATTTCGTTTTATTTTTGTTTTCGGTTGATTCGCTTGGTTCATTCTTTGTTCAGGTGCTGGTTCGTTAGGTCATTAACGCCATCAATGTAGTTAATGTCTGTTATTATTGTTGTTAGATGGCAAATGCTCATTATGGTTACTGAAAAATATACATTCATTTTAAGCAACAGCATTTAACGAGTCCTTAAGACAGACAGAGAGAATGACAGAGAGAGAGAGAAGAGAGAGAGACGAGAGAGAGAGAAGGAGAGATAGAGGAAGAGAGAGAGAAGAAAGAAAGAAAGAAAAGAAGAAGAAGAGAGATAGAGATTGAGAGAGATAGATAGAGAGAGAGAGGGAGAATCATAAGTAAAACCCATCATGAGAATGCCCACCCCCTCCCACAGCCCCCACATCTCGCCCGTGTGTCTGCCACACACCCACACCAACTTCGAGGGCCATCGCTGTTACTCCACCGGCTGGGGCAAGAACGCCTTTGGAAAAGACGGAAAGTACCAGAGCATCTTGAAGGAGGTGGACCTGCCAGTGGTGAACCGCTACCAGTGCCAGGAGGCCCTGAGGCACACGCGCCTTGGCCC